TAAGATACAAGGTAATGGAGCCTTTTATAAACGTTGTGTTTCTTTGGAAATAAACAATGGACAAATGGAGTCTTTAAACGACTCAGATGTAAAGTTATTCGCTGTCAAAGTGACGCCAAAATGAATGGGAGTCAATGGAATACTAACACCAGGTGAAGGCTTGCTAGCCAATGGCGGCCCCCAGGGAGTCTTCCGTTTCCGGCTGAATTACCCTTGGGTGCAACGGATCACAGTTTTATGTGAAATTTAACCATCATAGAGTGAAAGTTTATCATTTGACGTGTTTTGTCTTGCTAATTTACACATCTATCTATAAATTGCAGTAACGTCTGTCTATTAGGGATGGTAAGCGTCACCGATTCGCATAGCGCGGTGCGATGGACATGATTTCGCCTCATTCGCGCGTCCAGGTCGACTAGATTGATTTCTCCTTTCTGAACTGTTGCTCAATCGCGTTCTCTCATCACGACTGCTGCAGCTGCTACATGAATATGACGTATCACAACACTACGGAGTGCGAGGCGTGTCCTGAGTAGGACATTTGAGTTAATCTGGTTTACAGCAGCCTGTGACTGCCAATAATAGTTGTTGTTTTTTTACATTTGAATGCAGTTATGAAAGACCTGTTTGTGAAATTTGTTTATTTTTTTTTTTGTAATTGTTTATGTTAAAACTGCACCTGCTTTTATTTAATCTTTTGGTTTTGTGAAAAAAAAAGAAATAACCATGCGTTAAAAGTCAGATGGCATTTAAGCTACTTTATGATTTGCTGTATGTCTGAATAAAAGAAATAAAAGTGTACTATCTATACCATATTGAATTGCATTATATTTTTCTCCATTGCATCATGTTACATTGAATCGCATCGCGTTGAATCGAATCGAAATCGGATCGCACCGCATCGTAATAGTAGTGAATCTTATTGCATCGCATCGGTAGCTGCTTATATGTATTTTTAATGTATCGTATCGTTGGCTGCGTATGCGTATCGCATCGGCCTCAGCTATGGAGATGCACATCCCTACTGTCTATCTGTGTGTCTGTCTGTTAATCGAATATCTCTCGAACCATTAGTCCGATGGATTTTAAACTGTGGATTTCAAAAAGTGCAGTGCCGAGTTTGACATTGTTTGTATTAGAAATGCAAAAGGTATGGTTAAATATATCTTTAAAAGAAGCACACATTGAAGTTGTGGTTGAAAAATAAACATTCTGACATTAGAGAGGGTTGTGGTTTAAAAATTGTGGTTTAAAAATAAAGATTCTGTCAGCTAAACATTAAGTCAGCTACACTGTTTACTTCTGAAGTAAAAAAGTAGCGATTCTTTTCAAGGTTGTTATTATACATTTATTACAATGTAATTATATGTTTATTACAATGTAATTATACATTTACTACAGTGTTATTATAGATTTATTACAATGTAATTATACATTTATTACAATGTAATTATACATTTATTACAATGTAATTATGCATTTATTATGCGTTTAAAAAGTAGCGATTCTTTTTGAAAAAGTAGTGTAAAAAATGTAATTATACATTTGTTACAGTCTTATACATTTATTACACTGTAATTATACGTTTGTTACAATGTAATTATACATTTATTACAGTGTTATTATACGTTTATTACAATGTAATTATACATTATTACAGTGTTATTGTACATTTGTTACATTATTATACATTTGTTTCATTATTATCTTGTTACATTATTCTTTTTGAAAAAAAGTAGCTATTTTTAAAAAGTATCGATTCATTTTTGAAAAAGTATCGATTCATTTTTGGAAAAGTAGCGATTCTTTTAAAAAAGTATAGATTCACTTTCGAAAAAGTATCGATTCATTTTTAAAAGTGTCGATTCACTTTTGAAAAAGTAGCGATTCTTTTTGAAAAAAGTAGTGTAAAAATGTAATTATACATTTTGTTACAGTCTTATTGTAAATTTTTTCCAATGTAATTATACATTTAATACAATGTAAATATACGTTTATTACAATGTAATTATATGTTTATTACAATGTAACTATACGTAGTTTAAAAACTATGTATAGAACTATGAAAGAGTAGCGATTTATTTTGAAAAAGTGTCTATTCTTTTTTGAAAAAGTAGCGATTCTTTTTGAAAAAGTAGCGATTCACTTTTGAAAAAGTATCGATTATTTTTTGAAAAAGTAGCGATTCATTTTTGAAAAAGTAGTGATTCATTTTTGAAAAAGTATCGATTCATTTTTGAAAAAGTATCGATTCACTTTTGAAAAAGTAGCGATTCATTTTTTTTAAAAGTAGCGATTCACTTTTGAAAAAGTTTCTATTCTTTTTGAAAAAGTAGCGATTCTTTTCGAAAAAGTAGCGATTCTTTTCGAAAAAGTAGCGATTAATTTTTGAAAAAGTAGCGATTCACTACTTTTGAAAAAGTAGCGATTCAATTTTGAAAAAGTAGCGATTTAACTGAATCTGTAAGTCAGCTACACTGTTTAATTCAGAATATTATATTTTATTCTGGTGCGCTTAACGTTATAGTTTTCTCAGAGTTTAGGCTCCTGTGTAATAGTAGCCTAGGCTATTCAGCAACTCAAACATACCAAACCAACAATTACTAAAAACACACAAAAACTGATTTTGCACGGGCATTCCACTAGTTTAAACAATTTTAAACGCAGAATAAGAGGCGAAAATCGGGACTCACGCGTTATCTGTGACCAGAGCCACACGGAGAGAGAGAGAGAGAGAGAGAGAGAGAGAGAGAGAGAGAGAGAGAGAGAGAGAGAGAGGTGCACGTTTCAGATAGAATTAACGTTTCCTTGCCCTTGAACGGACACATGCACACAAAATTATGTTAAAAAAACTCGTCTAAATACCCTTCTCGGCAAGTATTCTCTCGGTTATGTCATAGTTAAGAAAGAATCCATGATGTTTGACGTTTTTTTCGGTACTGCATTCGGTCTTAAAGTGACAGCACACACACAATATTCCTACTGTTGTCTGTGTCATTAATGTTAACAAAATACAGTTTTAACAAAAATGAAACTATTCAATTTCTACAGTGAACAAATAGTGTTATTTTACATTTAGGATTAATTATTAAGTTCTGTGCCTGAATTGCCTACTACTGGTAGACTTTTAACTTTATTTAGTATTCATCTCTGCTTGTAATTTGTGTATTTGTTCTTATTTTATTATTGACTGTTCTCTTGTTTTTAATAATGTTTGAAATTTATCATTTAAGAGCACGTTCTCTCCACCGCAACCGTCTTGCAGCACATTTTAGTCTTCGCAAATTCCTAATTACAACATTGTATAGATGACATTGTATTATGATGCTCATAAGTTTTTTCATACTGCGTTAGTAGCTGATATAACACCAAATTAAAATTCCACTAAGAAAGATCTCCATAACAAAAATCGCCTGTTTTTACACTTCCTGCTTTTCCCTGCTTGAGAATTTCTGTCCAATGAAAGGATGACCTTAGCACATGTGTGGTTTTGTTTACAAATTTTGGTTAACTTGCAAAAAGGGCAGTGTGAAAGCGAACCACACCAAAAATTGTATTTGGTCCGGACCAAAGCAAGTGAACTAGCGGACTTTCCTGGTGTGAATACACCCTAAGTTGCCCAGCTGTTGCCATGGTAACCTCATGTATTTGCCTCATAGTAACGCACTTGATGATGTGAAGTAAGGCCATCCAGCCTTGGGCCTGTGACTACAGATGTGTTTTTCCTCTTAAAAGGAAGGTTACTTCCTCTCTCACTGTGGGAGGAGTTTCTCGAGGGCATCCTTTAAACATTGTCCGCTTTGTTCCGTTTCCACCTCGTGCTCAGTTTAAGTGAATATCATAAATTTATCATCAATTCATTTTAGCTTTATTTCTCACTTCATTAGATTTTAGGGCACCACACGGAGGGAGGGGGGAGATGCGTGCCTCCTTTGAGAGTTAAAAATGCAATTTCACAGTCAACTTACACCGAAATACTTTACACAACAATAGAGGGAGAAAAAGACAGGAGGCCTACTTGAACACTGCAGTCTGTTATCAGACACCAGAGTCATGGAGGAATAAAGTGCTTGCTGGAGAGTGCTAAATCTCTTTAAACACCGCCAGTTAAAACGCCATGGAACGGATCTGTCCAAATGTGATAGGATCTGGCCCAACGAGATAGTGTACTGTCCTCCTGTTAAAAACGTTTGAACATCCTCCATTGCCCAATATCGATCAAACAACCGAGATAGCACATCATGTTTAGAATAGAAACAAAAGAAAGAAAATCAGTTTTGGAAGATAAGTAGAATTTTTATAAATAAATATTTTTAGCCAGCACACAATTGTGCGCACATTTAGTCACATTTGAACATACAGACAGCCATTTCACAGTGAATCAGATCACACTAATGAAGGAATCAAAACATCATTTATTACAGCAGCTTCCACTCAGTCGCGCTGGCACGCTCTCTTACATACACACGCTGAGAAGGCAAAGACATGACAGGGGCTGATAGATTTTTCCTGCTTCATTACCCACAGTCTTTCAAAGTGTAGCATAAGTCCACATCAAAATCAGCAACCAGCTAATCAAACAGAGGCATAACTCAAGCACTGCTGAAAAGGGCCAAGGCAAATCGAATCGTTTGGACAATTATCCTTTTCTTCTCTTGAAATGAATGGGTATTTGGCACACCTTAAAAAAAATTCACATTTCAGTTTTTTCTTCACAAAAAGCTGTTGTATGCCTTCATGTAATATAGTGCACAAATCACATGGACTACTAATGCTTTATCATTCTTTTTGGACACTATGTATATGGTCATTGTAAACTACTGTTGGATCTCTAAGGAAGAAAGAAATTCATACAGGTATTCAGGGTGAGTAAATGTCCCTTTAAAATGAGATTAATTGGATTATTGTCTTTCAGAAAGGCAGAGTACAACTGTCCATCTCAACTAAAAATGAAATGTGACATAATCTGGTTTCGGTCGCAGAGCCCAATGGATCTGTATAAGGCTCGTTTAACCCTCATTGCGTTTATCCATCCAGTGCAGATCAGATATTAAAAATTATAACCCTGAATTTAAGTGCAGATCATCTTGTCCCAATGCAGAGCTACAGATTCGATTCAGAGTTTGCTGCTCTTCTGGAATTGCGACACCAGTCCCAGCACCTGCTCGGAGGCCTTGATGAATTTATTCTGCATGTAGGCAGCGCTGTTAGTGCTGGTCTCTTGCAAAAAGTAGCGATAATTAACCATTATGCCACAGGAGTTGGCGATGCCCCGCGGGCTCGTGTCCGCTTGCCAGTTCAGCCTCCACATGGTGGCACCGTTCTGAAGGTGGAAGTTGGCCACAGGGTTTAGGGCGTAGCCCCGCCGTTTCTCTCCATACAGGTACCAGGCACAGAGCCGCATTAGCGCAGGTTCCAGAGAGTGGAGCAGGCGATCCGAGCGGATCCACTCGCTGGTGCCGATGAGCCTGCGCAGGGCTTCCAGAGCCGGAGCACCGGGAGCAGCTCCTGTCACATCCTCCACCTCCCTCCACTCCTGCTCAGAGAGGAGCTCCGTGGCACGTCCCTCCTTCTTGTGCTGTCCGAGAGCCCCTTGCAGCCATGAGGAGAAGCCAGGGATGGGAGACAGACTGGAGAACTGGGCCATGTGGGGGAACTCACTCTGCACAGAAAGATAAACAGACAGGTAACTCTCAAATATCTATACTAACTAACTAACTAGTCTCTGTCAAATATCTATACTAACATGCACAAATTAATAAATTATTTTATCTATCTATCTATCTATCTATCTATCTATCTATCTATCTATCTATCTATCTATCTATCTATCTATCTATCTATCTATCTATCTATCTGTCTATCTCTGCATTTATTTGATCAAAAATACAGTAAAAAGAGTATAACTAACTAACTAACTATTTATCTATCTAGTCTCTGTCAAATATCTATACTAACTAACTAACTAACTAACTAACTAGTCTCTGTCAAATATCTATACTAACATGCACAAATTAATAAATTATTTTATCTATCTATCTATCTATCTATCTATCTATCTATCTATCTATCTATCTATCTATCTATCTATCTATCTATCTATCTATCTATCTATCTATCTATCTATCTATCTCTGCATTTATTTGATCAAAAATACAGTAAAAAGAGTATAACTAACTAACTATTTATCTATCTAGTCTCTGTCAAATATCTATACTAACATGCACAAATTAATAAATTATTTTATCTATCTTTCTATCTATCTATCTATCTATCTATCTATCTATCTATCTATCTATCTATCTATCTATCTATCTATCTATCTATCTATCTATCTATCTATCTATCTCTGCATTTATTTGATCAAAAATACAGTAAAAAGAGTAATGTTGTAAAAAACTATTACAATTTTAAATAAATTTCCTATTTTAATATATTTTAAAGTATGTGTGAAAAATGTTCAGCAGGCATTACTTTTCAGTGTAACATAATCCTTGAGAAATCATTCTAATATGCAGATATGGTGTTGTTTTTATGCTAATTTCCCATTATTATAAATGTTAAAAGTGTAAAGAAAGTTCGTAAGAACAGCATTTATTTGAAATCTTTTATAACTTTATAAATGTACTTACTGTCTCTTTTGATCAATTGAATGCATCATTGCTGGATAAAAGTATTAATTTCTTTCAAAAAATAAACTTTTGGACAGTAGTATATCCTCTCTACTTCATCTTCTTTTTTCTCCTTATTTCCCATCCCACACATTCCATTTGTGCTGATTTAAAAACCATGTTGAACAAGTCCACAGTGTCTCTCTCTCTCTTCGCCCACAAGGGCATAGACACACTCATTTTCTCTCCCTCTCATGCCCACATTCAACCAGAAGAAAGCACTGAACAAACCAAAAGTGTCAGACTGGCCCCAGAGGAGCAGAGATTTTAAGTCCTCCACATCTCAAGTCCATCACACTTCTCTCTCGCTTTCATTCTTTGCCATGCATCACTCCTTCAGACAGGCCGGAGAGAAGGAAGATTAAGCATGTCCAAGGGTCACTTTTCATTCATCAACTCAATTTACTGTAAAACATCGGTCAGCAGGTTTAAAGCTACAGAGAGCGAGAAAGAGAGAAAATGAAGAGTAAGGACAAGAAGAGAGTGAATATAAGACAGAAAGTGAGTGCAAAAGAGCCCCGTGAGGATTCTGCTGAAAGACAAGCAAACCCTCCTCCTCTTCTCCTAAATCACACCGTGACCTTTCTTCACCTCTTTTTTTCTGTCTATCATCCATCCATCACGCCAATCATCCCCTTGTGGGATAGTGAGTCACCTTTACTCTTTATTCAGCGGAAGGATGAGCTCAGACACTCACACTATAAAGGTTCTTTATTGGCATCTATAGATGCTTTTCCACCGTCGAGCCAAATCGTTCTCATTGCTTAACCGTGAAAACTTGAGAAGACATGTTTGTCTAAAGTTTATAGACCTTAGTCAGGTAAGACGCCATATTGAATGAAAACGAGGCTGTGAGGGATAGACGTACAGTTTTTACAATGGCACGCACTGTATAAAGGTCATAGGTCACGAAACTTTTAAAACTGTTTTATGGAGTTTTTGTATACTGAAAGTTTTTTTCAGAAAGATAATTCATCGGATTGTTGTTAAACAACAGTACAATCCATTGAATGTACTGTATTCTATCCCTCACTGCCTCGTTTTCATTCCTGTCAACAATTAAATATGGTGATACCCTGACAAAGGTCTTTGTAATCTGAAAGAACGTATAAAGTACCCGCATGCTTAAAAATAAAAGGTTCCAAAAGGGGGTATTCGGAGTGATATCATAGAAGAACCATTTTCGGCTCCCTAAAGAATCTTTTTGTGAACAATTCTTAAAAGGTTACAACAAGATTACACTAACTTTTCCTCAAGTTTAATCACGGTCAACCATAACGACAAAAGTCGCTAAATAAAATAACTGAAAGCCTCATTTACTTGTTTAAACAGTTAAACTTGGCACTGTTCTTCAAAAAAAAAAAAAATCTATTTATAATTTACAAAATAGTAATAACTATAACTGGTGGAATTTTTTTTTATTTTGCTAGAAAATATGGTTGTAAGGCTAATGTGAATATTTATGGACTGAGATGGAGAGAATTCGATTCAAAGATAAACGAGCGAGCTACACACACACACACATACTTCAAAAACAATCTAATTCAAACACAAATCCAGAGCATCAACATGCACAATTTGCATGAAATAATATCTATCAGCTGTCATTTCCACTCAAATGATGCCTTCAATCTCTCATACGGGTAAATCAGCACTCAGAGAAGCGCAGCCGTTCGCAGAGTGCTCTTTACTAGGGTTTACCTCTATTACACAAACAGACACCCGGCACTTTGTTTCACCAACACTCCTGCTGAAGAAAAACTCATCCAAATCTATAAACCTGAGTGCCTCTCGTTTCTTTTCCATTTAATTCCGCCTTCATCTAGTAAAGAGGCAGCTCTGTGACATGCCATGTGTCCCTCCTTCCTCATGTTATTGAGGGTGACAGCTGAAATGTTATTAGTTTTCCTGCTTTTTTCTCCCTTCCATATAGAAACATTCAACGTATATAGATAGAAATGTACAATGCCTGGCACTAGGTGATGCTGTGGGACAAATATATTAAACGTATTATAGTATTTAAGGTTGTCAATCAGTTAAAAATCTTTAATTGAATTGATTACAAAAAGCCAATTAATTAATTGCATTAAATTGCATTTAGTATTTGTTGACAAAATCCCCTAGACAAAGATAATTTGAGTACATTACATTATAGATTAACAAAGGCCCCTTTCACACATTAAACCTGGTAATTTACTGGAAAATTACCATATAGACACACCATGTCTAGTAAACACACCATATATACAATTACAGTACCGTTATACAGTACCATAAAACTCTTGCTCAATTTAGAAACCACATATTACCCTTACTATTTCTGCTATAGAAAGATATAGTAAAAATGTTAATTTACCAGTAAAGACTGTAGGTGTAAAAGAGGCTATTGATTAGAAGCGGCTTTAGAACTTGTTTATAAGTTGATATATTGTTTTATTCCTTATTATTTATATATTGTTTTAACCCCTTCGCTGTCACCCCCCTTTTTGAGAATGGGGGTTAAAATGCACTATTCAAACTTAAATGGTTGTAATTCAAGAATGCTTTGGAATATAGACCCAAGTTTGGTCTTGTTTTAAAGGAAACACTCAGCAGATTATTGCTGAAGTGAAAACACTTCAAAAAATGAAAGTATGGAAAAGTTATGGAAGTTTAAATTTACAGTACATCAAATATACTGTACTATATATTTTTTATTTTATAAAAAATATATATTTTACAAAATATTTTTTACTCTAAAATTACTATAAAATCAAAGCCATATATCTAACCAAGTTGTGTTCCAAATTTGAAGTTGATATCACAAAAATTGAAGTTCCCATGAGATTTTGTTTAGGCGTAGTACTAAAAATAGCCACCGGGTGACATACATTCCATTGAATTTAGTTAGATACATTCTGCCTTAACAAATTAATACATTTCTGTCCAAATATCAATTCTGTCACAATATTTGGAACCTTGAGACTCAGACCTTTCTGACAATATGTGTTTTGTCAGGATTAGAAAAGGTTTTGATCATAAATTATGAAATATAATGATGCCCAAAAGGGGAGGAGCCTGATAAAATAATTTAGAGTACCGTTTCTATGGTAACGCAACGTTCAATTTCAAAACGGTTTTCACAGGATGAATTCTGAGTTTGTAAGCTTTCAAATGATACCTAATTTATGATAACTACTAAAATATGTGATGTAATAAAAAAAGGCGATAAAAAAGATAATATTATATTTTAGAGGATAATATATATATTATACTTTTTAGAGGATAATATTATATTATAATTTTTTATTGAAAAATACTAGATTATATGTTTTATTATGAACTTTTAGCATGAAAACCAAAGTTTCAATTATTAAAGGTGTGTGCGTCAACTTTTTGTGACAAAGGTCAGAACTCCTGTTATGACGCAGATTATTTTGAGGTGCACTCTTGTCAAAAATTCATCGGTTACTCTTCCTACATAATTTGTAGCAAAAAACAGCAGTCAAATATCTATTTAGAAGTCCTAGACCTTTCCAACCATATATAGTTTGTCATAATTAGATTAGGATTTAATAGTAATAAAGCGAAGTAAAGTTAGGCGTCCCGTATACGGGACGGTGACAGTTAAGGTTAAGCATTGTATATTGCTTTTTTCAGCATCTCACGCCATGAGCGCCACAATTTAAGATGTTACATTGTAATTTTTAAACCCACTGTAATTAATGTAAATATTAATAATAATATATTTAAAAAAAAATCTAACTTTATTAGACTGCTAAAAAATATAAAAGCATTTTATTTCTTTTTTCCCTTAATAACTATTCTTTATTTGAAGAAATGTCTAAAATCATTTATTAATTACTATATCAACCCTTTTAGTTTCTGTTAGTAATATATTACAGATTCATTATTATAATAGTTTATTATATTATTATAGAATTATATATAGGGGGATTCCTAGCATTTATTTTTCATTGACCAAGTTTTCGATGTAATAATTCTTAAAACAGCTGTGATGAACATAAGCAGCGCTAACATCTTTTTATGATTTATTTTCTCATTCCTTTGCCCACCTGCAGTTCTCGGACCACCCTCTTGATGAGGTAATTTCCAAGCTCCACCCCCTGCAGCCCAGCCTGAGTGGAGGAGATGGAGTAGAAGATGGCAGCATTGATCTTGTTCACATCCTCGTCTGCATCTAAAGTGGCAAACTCTCTCACGATTCCCTGGGAAAATAAGAGGCACATAGTAACAGACTCACAGGGGACTCACTGGAGGCATTGGCAGATTTCTGTACATTCTGAGCACACTGTCTTTGTTCTCTGTATTACTCCACTACTGTCTCTGAATACATTTGCCTGATCCTGCACAAGGACACTTTCTATCATTCAAGGACCCAATAACACATTTACACTCTATTCAAATTTGAACCAACCAGCCATCAATTATTCTTTGTGATGAAAAACAAATGTGATTGCCATTTGCATTTACCTGGATATTATTTGCTATGTCCTCAGTTAAGGCAACATGCAGCACCACCAGTGGTTCTCCAGGCATCGAAGCGTGGGTGAAGGCATAACATCGACGGTACGGCCCCACTCTGCGTTTGATATCCGTCCAGTTCCGCACAGGGTGGACCGCCTCGTACCTGTAGGATCAGACAAAAAAATAGAAAAGAAAAAAGGCTCAACTGGGACGTCAAATAAAAAGGAAATGTTTGCACGTACGAGAGAGATCTTACTGGCTGATCTTCTGAAGGATTTCGCAAGGGGACTGCCAAGTGATTCTTTCGAGTTGGAGTAACCCAACAGAGAACCATTCTGACAGAAGACTCTTCAGAGTGCTGTTCAGATCCTAACACACCAAGATACACAAACACAGAAGAACAGATGAAGAATGTGAGAAGTGAACAGGTAGTTTCATCACCAGCACATACCGTCCTACAGCTTAAAGTCCCCTGTTTTTTATATACTATTATTTATGTACTATCATATTTTATGAATATTTTGAATGAGGTTCAGGTTTAGTTTTAGTGCTTCAACAAACTTATTTTTAATATCATATTTACATTTCATTTTATTTTATTTTAATTCAGGTTTATTTCAATTAACAAAAATAATAAGTTATAATAAGTTCATTAATAAATATGTTTTTAATCGTTTTAGTTAAAGGTGCTCTATGTAGCTTTTCTTCTAAAATGAATGCTTTTTTTATTGCCTGTGTGTGAAGGGGTTGTAATCACACATTACAATGATCCACTTGTCGGGTTTTGCTATTTCCTCTGAAGGCCAATATTCATATTTATATGTGAAGTCTCCGGGTCGGATTTACCGCGAAATCCATCGGATGTGACGTGCATGCGCGCTCCCGAGCCTCTCTCCTTTTCTATACAGTCTATGCGACGCCACTGCAGCTGACAACATGGAGTCTGATAACACCCCAAAACGACCTGCCTCCAGCACAACACAGACTCCAACACAAACTCCACAAAAATATAAAAAACAAAAAAAAGTTTTATCTGCTGAAGCTCGTCAGGCCAAACGTGATTCTGATCGACTCAGGACGAAAACACGGATCAACATCGGCAGAGCTTTTGAATTATTAGTAAACTGTAATGAAATAGCAAGGTAAACTACATGAGACATGAAATGGATACAAAAGACTGTTCCAGGATAACAAAAAGTAGGTGCTTTAGGATGTAACTTATTTTATGTACTAGATGTGTCTAACGTCACTCATCCCACTACTATTATATTGTTTATAATACACATTTCCAGACACGTTCAGTGCAGTAATGTTACTTTCTACTGTCTTACTGTTACACTGACATTGTTCAGTCTAGTTCACTAACCGTTTTCGTTATCATATTATACATTCACCTATGTTGACATTGCTGATTGTGAAAGATACACGAATAGTTAGTGAAATGCCTTATGCTAGATAACATCACATGCCGGCTAAATGCAGTCAATGTAACGTTATCATGGTACGAGCATGGAGCATTAGTTCAACGTCAAGCTGATAAAAGTAGCCTATTATTGTAACGTTGCAGTGGGAGTTTACATGAGTTTCCAGCATGTTGTGTGATGCTTTCGCCGTTGCGTTGAAAGTCTCCGTGTGGCCGGTAGTGAATGCTCGCTCTTGAGATCGAGCACGCATACGAGCATGAGCGCTCTTGTTGCAATCTGAAACATCACCGCTAGAGGCCGCTAAAAAATACATACAGCACCTTTAACCATAACAACCTTGGATTGAACCTGACCCGAATTAAACCAAATCAATCAGACTCAAATAAAAAGGAATCATTTACTTTTTAAATGTGATTCCAGTCACACACATTTTTCTATAGGCACAAAGTTATGCGAGTTATGTTCAAATTAAAATGTTTAAAATATTTTTATTTGATATTTTTTCCATTACAAATCCAACACAAACCTAAAGTTACATTTGGAAATACTGAATTGAACCGCCTTGAAATGCAAGGTGTGGAATGCAAAAACGGAGCAATTCTAAGAGGGTCCTCGCACGATCAGTGCTCGGGCCCTAAAAATGGGTCATCCAGAAATCATCACAGTTTTGCGAAGAGGTTTATATATATCTTAAAAGTATAGCTGCAAAACCAGCCTGTTTAATCGTAAAAGGTCAAAGATGTGTGTTGAAAATGGTCATGCAAAACTAAATCATGTGCAAAAAACTTTGACCAATATTATAAATGGACTTCAGGGGGAAAAAATAATATGCTGCAAAAGTGTAGATCATTGCCGGTTTAATATTATAATTCATGTGCAATACCCAACGATTTTCAAGAACCGTTCTCAGTACAGCTGCGCTCATAATGGTGCCTAATTATAAAGTGTGCGGCTTCCGTTGGTGGAATTAATATTTCACAGGCGCTTTCACAGATATTGTGAAGCAACCCCACCAACTCATAGTTGCTGCCATTTCATCTGTCCTGTATACAACACGTTCAGAGGAGTCTCATTTCCCTCTGCAGCTCTTAGCGTCTGTTTATTTGCTCTGGTGGTGTTCTCATTAGAGCACAGGGATCGGTGTTAGCGTCCATTCGAGGACGCTGAAAGATTTCTGTGGTAAACACAGTTCCAATTCATCAAAGAGCTGCTGCTCTCCACATGAGATATGGTTCTGCACTCTCCCTCGAGGGTCAGATTTCTTTCATAATGGTGATGAGCAACACAGCACGCATACAAAAATCTAGATCTAGTCGCTGGTGCACTCATACAAAGCAGCTTTAAAAATTCTAGGCTAGCCTGTCCCACAGATGCATGCGCTTAAAAGAACTGTGGGCCTGTCAATCAAACATCAACACAGGCCGTCTGTGCGTGCTTCGCCCTCATCTATAGTACACGTAAAATCTGACCTTATTGTAGCACTTTCAGCGGTGCCTGCAAGCAAAAGATCTCGAATTATCATTTCTCAGCACGCTTTTCCCTATAAAGCCCGCTTGCTTAGATCAGCATAAATAAATGTGCCACTAAGTGATGCATTTGCATGTAGAAAATAACCAGGGGGTGTGAAGGCAAGATGTCTGAAGCTCCCAATAGCACCAAAACAATCTAACAAAGTTCGGATTGTAGTGTTTCTTGAAAACAGGATGGCTGTTCAAGGAAAGCAGGCCATTGGGGACTGAACTGGAGTAGTAGTCTACAGCATTTTGCTTTTCTGTCTATCTCAGCTTTACTCAGTGCAATCCACAGCCTATGGCTGCCCCAGAAGTCACCGTTCCACTTAACATTGAACTCATCAAATCCTCTCTGGGCTGGGAAATTACTTCTAACCATTTATTCGATGTTCTACCTTCAAATTCAGGGCAGCTGAAAGTATTCGCCCAAAAAGAGTTGTATTTGCTTACACGGCTGAATTTACTCTGGGGCCAAGCTTGCATAAGTGGAATCCAACTTTGATATGTACCATCGCACTGCAGGCCACAACTTTCAAAAGCGCCGCACTGTTTGGGCCGTTTCACATATTTTCTTGTGTGCCTAAGAGAGGGGAAGATATCCAACTCAATCTAAACTATAAGCGTCAAGGCAGATGCAGAGATCACAAATTATTAATCCCACCGAAGCGCTAAAAAAACCTTTGCCACGCTTTAACTTAAAAGGGCAGAGAACATTTGCTGCGTGGAAACTGCACTGCACAAAGGCAATAATGTCAAGGACGTGTCAATGACTGCACCTGAAATTGGGCTTTTGACATTCTCAGATTTTACCGACATAAATTAAAAGTGGAGAAGGCAGGTGCAAATGGAAAAAATCATGGCATTAGAGCAATACCTGTTCACACATAAAATGAAAGCCTGTTTTACACCTTGAGCATTTAAGAAAAATACTTCATTTAAGAAAAATACTTGGTAACACTTTCTATGTAATGCGTTATAATTCTAAGTATTGAATGCATTAATTACTCATGCCCTGTAATGCACCTTATAATGTATTGTATGGTCTCATGAATAAATGTAACCACAGTTATAATGTTTATAACAATACTTACATACATTATTATTATACTTATCTATTCATTGAACTCACCTTTAGAAAGTATAATGCATTAAAACACATGACAAACTAGCAATTTCAGATGTAACAAAAATTCTGCAAATGTTATAATGGATTTTAACTTTGTGTACAATAATTAAAGGGATAGTTCACCCAAAAATAAAAATTAGCCCATGATTTACTCACCCTGAAGCCATCCAAGAATGTGTATATAACATCCTTCTTTCAGACGAATACAATCGGAGTTATATAAAAAAGCTTGCTAATGTAAGTGGAATGGCTGTTTGGGAAGTATATTAAAGCGCATCTATTCATGATTAAAGTGCTCGACAAGGATCTGCGGGGGTTAATAAAGGTCTTCTGAAGTGAAGCGATGCGTTTGTGTAAGAAAAATATCCATATTTAAAATTTATCGACTAAAATAACTTCCGGCAGACGGCCGTACACATCGATTTACACCAAAAGAGTAACCCTTGAACTTGACGCACAACATAATGACGGCAATTGACGCCTCTCGCGGTTTCAACAAACAGGGCTGGGCAGATGCGTTCGTCATTACGTTGTGCATCAAGTTCAAGAGTAAGGCTTTAAAGGTGAACTAAGTAACTTTTTTACCTTAACCGAACAGCTTTGGAGTCATTGTAATGTTTATATTACTGATTTCGTGTTGAATGGTGGTCGTCTCCCACCCCCCTGGTGCCTGTGAGCCGCAAAACCACCCTTGCAACTTTGGGCCGGCGGGACGCCGTGTGTTAGGAAGTATCGTGTGATATCAGGTCTCGCGAGGTAACGAATTGCTTTACGGCAAAAAAACAGATCTGATAAAATGAGCATCAAACAGAAATATACATATACGTATACACCGTATACATGTGGTGTTCGAGGCGCACATACAATACAGACTGCCGACAGTTAAACAGGGCGCGCGCAGCTCTTAAAGGGGCCATACCTTATTTCCACTCGTTACAGCGTCCATCCTACTGAACAGGTACCGGTGTACAGGGGGAGGGGATCCGCCGTGAGTGCGAGCCATTTCTGTGTGAGTGCTATTCACGACAGTACAAGTACTCCACAGCGACTCTAGGGGTCGCTGTTTGACAAAAAACGGAATTCCTACTTAGTACTGCTTTAAGCCTTTAAGCTATCTGTATACGTATATTAATATCAAATATAAAATTTTATAAATCAGCCTTTCAGCCGTCAGACCTACACCATATCTTCTACACTGTAGGCTATGCATTGGTTTTCATTTATTCTTCTGCGTCGTTGTCCGCGTTGACATGCAATTACACATGCAGAGGGAGCATGTGAAACGCTTGTGTCCACGTAGAATTAACG